TATCATGGGAGAGTAGATTAGGGTATTTCATTTTCACTGTATTCACCGGCGCACTCCGAATCCGGGGTCAGCTGACGAGACTTCCTATTCTGTCGCCTGCAATCACTCACACAGAATGTCATCGAAGCGAGCAGAGCACCCCCCAGACGTGCCGGGACATTCTTGAAGTTCCAAGAAGGAGGTGATCTGCGGAAGTCCTAAATGCGGTTTTCTGCAAGGGCAAGAGGCTTGGCCAGCCCCAATGCTCCAATCAGAGCGGCGAAGAGCCTGAGTCTCGGGACGTAGAGTACCAAGCGCGCCGACCCGCAGTCTGCCCCAAGGGCAGTATATGGCTGAACTGGGCATGTTTGTCTCGCGTTTTTCCCTTTCTTCGATTCGAGTGAATGATTTTCGTTTCAAGCTCATCAGAACGCGATCGAGATTCCACTCGCGGCTTTGCTCGCCGAGGAGTGAACGGAGAGAAAGGAGCTTGCCGTCGGCCCACTGAGCCGGGACGCGAGAAAAGGCAAAGAGGCAAACGTTTGACGATCATGGTGACTCTTGTCGTCTGTCAAGACCCGCTCGCGGTGCCAGCCGCCGCAGGCCCAAAGAAACGCGTTAAACAATGCAGTCGATGCAAGGCAACATAAGCACCAGCAAGCAGAAACAGAATCGGCGGACGGCCGGGAGAGTGGCGACGACGACGACAAGGAATAAGGGAAGCTGACAGAAGAAAGCCGAAAGACAATGCTTGTCTGTTTCTCTGCGATGTCGTCGGGCAAAGCAGCGGCGGCGGCAGCAGAAGCACCACCACCAGCCGGAGCCTCGAACAGCATTGACTGACGCCGTCGATGCATGACTGGTCCTCGATGGCGCTCCGCAACGCTGACAGCGAACGGGTCTGAAGATCCTCCGCCGCCGCCTCGGAAGTAACACCCAGCATTCCTGTAGCGCCCATCTCGCAAGGCCCTCGACAGGGGAAGAGGAGGAAACCTTTTCCGATATTCAAGTCGGCATTCGAACAGCTTTGTATACATGTGAGCGGGGTGATTTCCTCGACCGCTCACTCGCTCTCGGCCGCATCCCATTCTGTTTTTCTGCTCTTTGAGGTGGCAGGTAGACGTGCGGCGAAGGACGCTGGAACATGAAGGGGAGAGGCAGTTCGGAAACGGGGCCGAGAGCCGGGAGGGGGAGAGGGCAGCGCGGAAATTCGGAAAACTCGCAAAGATTTGACTCTGGCACCTCTCAAGGAAACGAGTGCCATTCTCTGCGGCGCATGCTCGTGCGCCGGGCACGTTTCGTGAGTATGATGACATCGCAGATTCGTCGCATCGATCGTTCTCGATTCCTCCATGGGCGAATTCGCGAGCATGCAGCTGCTGGATGAGCTGTAGACTCGCCGGTCAGAGGGATCGTCGGATAGAAAGTCGGAGAATCGAATCTTGAGTTGGATGGGTGGGCCGGTCGGTCGGTCGGGGAACCAAATGTTTGTACACGTCAACGCAATAGAAAGAACGCAGGGGAACCGCGGTCCGCCCCGGAGATCTGCAGAGCGTCATCAGCACCTGGTCCGGTGGGGAGGAATACTTTATCCTCAAGTCGACGACACCGCCGAAGAACTAGGCCCACATTATTCTGAAGAGCGTCCACCACTCTCTCGCTCCATTGCCGCGTCTCGATCACAATTTACACACTCGGGGAATCGTCCGATGATGTGAAGAAACGAAATTAGGAGGAGATAACGAAATCAGGATCGGGGAAGAATGTCGCACACCCAAACTACCGAGTCTGTCAGATTAGATCGAAAAATCCGGATCGGACAGCAGGCGAATGGCGGAGAAAAGCAACGTGAAGCTGTTCATCGGGAGGGGATGAGCGAGAAGTATTCATTCGCTGATGTAAGTTAGTGTCATCCACCTTAATAACTTGCCGAAGGCTCCATAACTGATAAAACATAGAGCATTTACGAGGTCATCACGTGAGAAGTACATAGTTGGCCTTAGACGTACTCAGCTACAAATCATCCGCGCGCCTATAAAAGTTCGTAGTAAAAGCATCTTTCCGAGTGCTTGCAAGCTTGGGGACAATCGCCGATGGGATATCGTTCGGAGCCAGCCCTGAGACCGTGTACATTCATTTCTCTTCGACTGCTGTCCATGATATCCTGGGACCCCCACGTCGCAACGTCGTCGTCCGAGTCGGGGGAGAATCCGCTCTGTCGTAAAAGCCTTCCCACCTCTCAGGAATGGCACATCCTGTCGATGTTGAGTACATAGCTCGATTATTTTGATAGAGTACATGATGCTACTCGATACGAAGACGCAATGCGCTTCAGTGCGATCTAATGCTTGTCCGCTACCCTTCCATTGACTGGACGTCGCCGGCCAGGGAGGGACCTGGAGCGAGCTTTATACATAACAAACCCAATTCCATCTATCGTATGACTTATACTCGATTCAGTCAGTCGCATCGGTCGTCGTGGGGTAGAAAGGACACATTTATCAAGCGGCTAAGAGATGAGTTCGGCCAGCCTGAATCCTCGAACCGCGGACCGGGGCCCGCTCTCCCTCAGCTCTGCGTTCTTTGAGCCCCGACAGTGATTAGTGGCAGATTCCGTAAATACCTCGTCGAAAGATTGCGCATACGCTACCCCCAAGCACAACCCCGGTCGCCATCAATGCCACGACGGCTACAACGAAGACGGCCACTACTGGTCATGCCGGAAGCGATGCCTGAGCACTTCCTGCCGTCTCACCTCCGCTGTGTTCACAGCGCTCGCCGTACATATAATTGATTAACGCGGGAGCCGTCCACTCTCGCGCGGGCTCGAGTGTCAGGTGACAGAATCAGATTGGATAATAACGGAAATTCCGTCGGGCATGGGGGGCGAGTCGCCCGGTCATTTATTCGGTAGAGAAAAAAACATCCGCCCGAACACGGAAGGGCTCGAACATGAATCGAACAACTCGACTCGAATCAAACATTCCAGATTTTTCTCCCTCCCAATAAAACTCAAACTCCCACCGGAGTTCCCGACGTGGGTTCGTTCCTCTGGAATTCTCCGGACAGGACGTGATCCGCACCGAGAGAAGTGAAATGAGAAGCGAACCAGAAGAGTTTTTCCAGATCGATTTGTCGTACGGGAGAAGAGACCCCCCGGAACCGGGAGAAACCTTCGGATAGCTCGCGGAATCGGCGAGGATCCCGGGACTCTGTCGTCCGAAACTCTATCGGTGCGGTGGTCGGCACGCAGTCGACAGTGAGTAGTTTCATAAAATGTTCTCCCGCATGCGTCGTCGGTGGTGTCGATGCTGGTGTGTTCGAAGTGCTCGGTCGTAGTGATGATCGAGTGTGACTGGAATATACTGCAGTTGGCGTCGAACAGGGAAGCGCTTTTGTTTACTCTTGAATTTGAAACTTTTCGAGTGGATCCGATGCTTTGTACGGGGAGTGTGCATACATGCTCGTCGTCATTGGCGAGACGTAGTCCTTCTCTCAGCCGTTATTGCATCGAGGTCGGCGCGCGGATGCTCGTCGCAAGCGCATTCGGGTTTCCCTCCGCGAAAGTCTATCCGGTAGTCGGCTAAAATAAACACGGTCTCCTCAACTAACTCGATTATATTTCCATACACTGTCTATAACAAGGCCCGGAGCCTGCATCGCCTCGCGGGATCAGAGCCGGTTGTCGTACGTACTGTCTCGTCCAGACGCACCTGTTCCGGGGAAAACATGAGACACGTCGGCTGACTAGAGTCCAGACGTACATATTCCTCCCAACGAGGAACTTCCCTTGATGGGATGCACGATTCCCACCCGTGACCCCTCCGGGAGACTTTCAGATCACGGAATCTCCCTTTTCCTCGCGAATTTCTAATGATCTCTGGTTTTCACGATCAGAATCTCGGCAGTACCTAAGAATGTTGAGAGCAGCCGGCCTGCCTCTTCTTTCACCTCGACCGGTATTCCGACTCTCTAATCGACCCCGTCACGGAATCCATGCCTTTATCCGCCGTGACTGCCGAATCCAGCTGCTAGCTCACGAGACAGCAGGCCACGTCGACGTAGGAGCGAAGTCGAGAAGCCTGGGACGAGGCGCGAAAATTGCGGATACAGCGGAAGAATAGCGCCGTCGGCGATTTCCCTCCAAGATTTCCGTCATTTTCGCAACAAGCTCTATTGACATCGAAGTTTGCAGATTGGATTCTCTCTCCATCTAATAATTCCTTCTGATAGTTTGGAGAGCATAGAGAGAGCGAGCAAGCGAGCCGAGTACCCCCCCCCCCTTACGCCTTCCGCAAGTTCCCCAGTCCCGTTTCCTCGCCAGCCCTGCACAAAGTTCCGAGAAGGAGCATGAAATCACGGTTGTCAATCTGACTGCTTCGATCTGGCTTGCTTCCGATGGAGAAACCGGTGATTATTCCAAGATTGGGACCCCGTACTTTTTCTGAAAAGTGATCACAGCTCACACACGAGGTGATTATCTCCTCTGCTGCGACCGCGGCTCAAAGTAACAGACTCCGTACACAATCGAAAATATAATTTATTGCTTTTTCCTCGAGCGTCCCCGGCCGTTCTATGAATAGGAACTTTTCACCCTACCACAGTCATGCGGCCACACTTCCACTCAGCGCTCAGACAACCTTTTTCTCCATCTGAGATCAATGGACATCGTGAAGTCGCGCTCCCTGGATCTGGAATCTGGAGCGTCTCCGGATCCAACCGATAATGACAAACAATGTTTTCAGGCCTCCGTAGCATCGCCTACGCAGTAATGGCACTCGGTGTTTTAACATAAAACAGTGACTTTGGATGTCTTCGATTTTGTGGCAAAGAATACGATCGGCATAGGATTTCTTCAGGATGCGACTCACGGAGGTCGCCCTCTGATTATCACAGAATCGTATCCCCTCCCCTGCCCCCCGCCCCTGTCGGTGCTACTCCGCTACGAGCTCGCTAGGATCCTTCGCTTCGATCGGGTAACTTGGGAATGCTCCGAGCTGAGAGGGGAGCATCTTTAAACGTCATAAACTCGTCCACTCTGTATCGCTGGTGGTATGGGTGTCCGAATCATTCAGGTCTCGGGGCTCGCCAGGCTCCGAACTCGAGGCCACGTCGCTCAGGACGCTCCACGAGTCGCTGTCGATCGACGGTCTGTGTTCGAGGATAGAATGGAACGTCTCGTTCCCCTTGCGAGGGAGCGACATGTAACTTCCGAGGTTCGCCATCAAACTCTGCGTTTCCAGGCGAAGACCTAGTTTGTGGACATCTGTTCGAAAAATTTGATTAGGATCGAAACTCCTGATCTGTCTGCTTGTCTATTCTTCAGCCACCGAAAATCGATCGTTCTCCGTCACGTCGAGCGACCAGATGGAGGGCACGGAAAGTGTAGGAGAGGTCTAATTAATTCTGAGAGAACTCAAATGAAGACACTCGCCTTTGATTATGGACATGAATGCTCCCTCGACGCCCTCGCCGGTTACGGCGGACGATTCACGATACCGCATGAGGTTGCGCATGGCCAGCATGACTGCCTCGTGCAGAATAACTTCGTCAGCGTTCCCGGGCTCGTCTTGCCTGGAATGGATCGCATGAAATGAGATTGGATTTTTACTAGCTCTATGAAGCCGAACGATCGCTGGGTGCTTCGCCGTTATCAAGTTCAGCACGCTGCCAGTCTCCCACTTCGGCCTTTCCTCCTCTTTCCCGTCCCTTGATGTCGGATTGTCGGGGTGTGTTTTTTTCTTTATTGTTGTCCGCTCCTCCTGGAGGCTCGGGGTGAATGCGCGAGATCGCTACGAGACCGCTGCTCGTCGTATCTGAGCGAGTGAGCCAATCTGCTCGGAACTCCCGGAATCGGGACTCCGGAGCTGCTCGCAAACTTCAAACTGCTGCTCCGGCTGAATCCGCTGCTGTCGCAGTCGACGGAAGAAAGGCTTCCCCGGGATAAGTTCCTCATTGTCCCCGATGATCGATGCGGTGATATGATCGCTCTCCTAGGAATTAACAAGGCCCCCCGATGCGTCTTCTCTCTCCAGATTCTGAGTGAGTGAGTGAGTTCAATGAAAAGACGATCGGTCGCCACTTCAAGTTTCGAGGGAGCCAAGTATTGAGCGGGACGACCGGAATAGGAATGAGTGCCGCATGGATCTAGTACGCTCTAGCCGAGTGACAGACACAGGATCCAATAGAAAAAAGCGTCGATGAGACGAATATTGCTGATAACGTGCTCATGTTTGAGGGTCCTTCTGTCCGCGGTGGAACGCCATCGGAGCCCCTCTTGAACAGCAGCATTCGCCCCTCTTGAACATTCGCTTTCGCAGAGCCAGCGTCAATCATCACATGTCTCCGCTGACTCGAAGATGACTTCGTGACAGAGAAAACACGAGTGAGACACGAGAATATCCACGAGACGCCGAATTCTAGCCAGGGAACCGTATTTTTTTTCACGCCGATTGATGTTCAAATGAGATCAAGATCTGCCCACAGACCTCCGCTTAATCCATTCTAGTACCAAACGAGGGATTAGCTGTGATAGTCCCGAATATGGGCCTGATCCACGTATCAGATCCAATATTAGCCCAGGCTATTATCAAGCGAATTCATGATTCAGCCATCAAGTCGAGCTTTTTTCTTCATGTGGAGCACACGCGGAAAGAGTCATGAGACCGTCATCCACTAACAATCCTCAATCTGATCATTGCGTCAGCAGAAACCAAGGGAGCATTACTTATTCTCATTTCTATTCTGCCGCAACAGCCCGCTGTGGAATATGATTGGCAAAGCGGAATTCCTATTTTAATCGTCAGCTGTGAAGTTCAAGAACCACCGACTCCGATGACAGTCGTCGCCTCAACAATACGGAAAAGAGCCGGAGATCCGCTCAGACTCACCTCAGGTCCCGTTTGGTGCCCACAAGATAACGTATCGTATTACTGTTGAATATTGGTTTAGCTTTCTCCAGGAGCGGAATCATATAGTAGAAAGTTTCCGAACAGGATACGTCGAACACGAACAGCACCCCGTGCGGTCGACTCCGCGATCTGTGGACGGGCGTTGCGTAAGAAACGCATGCATACACATTTCTCAGATCCAATGACTCATGACACATGCATATCGACCGGCCGGCAGGCTCTACGGCCGTCTGACCGACCGACCGGCCGACAGGCAGGCTTCTCGTCTGTCTGGCCGCCCAGCCGCTCCCCCGGCGGCGCCACCGGTGTCTGATGAACTCACATGTTTATGTTGTGCTTGAGCTGGGATTCGTCTTGGATCGCGAGGATCCGGACCCGCTTCCTACGGCCGTCGAGCACGAGCGTTCTGCTGTGCTGATTGGGTATCCAACGGTGCATCAGCGATCGGATCCCGACCCCTTTCGGACCGAAGAGAAACACTGCCAAAGAATGTTCGTCATCATTCATCCGTCCGCAGAGAAAATCAAGAAATTCGCGGCGGACTTTCGGGCCAACAGTCACTCAGTCAGCAGGTCACGCACTCGCTCCTTCGCTCACTCTCTCACTCGAACGGACGGTCAGACCGCCGCCTGTTCTGTCAGTCCATCGATTGATCTGTCAAGTTCGAGGTCAACAATACGCCAGACGGATATCACCGGTGCGCCCGCCGAGAAGATGAAAAAAAAAACTCACGATCGATTTCATCGAATCGAACTCTTCCGTCGTTCCTCCATGAATTCGTCCGTAACATCGCTCGTTGTTCGGGTGATCTCCGTGTGGTGACGCTCGCCGTAGAACACAAGATGGAACGCCCTCTTCAGCTGACGGCGCACTCCTCTCTGGAGCGAAACTTTTGATCCACTCCTATTCCACCAAGACCGACCAACAAGCAGTTCACTCGCTCGCTCACTCAGTTCCACAGAGAAACACGCCACTAAACTAGCGACGCTGGCGGCAACGGCGACCGGCTCCAGCGGCAGCACCACTAGCATCCGCGGCGGCGGCAGCTAACGCGGCAGCGGGAGAGAGACGCGGCTCACTTTAGAAGGGGCCTGCCAGGTAGGGCGGGCGGCCGCGATCTCAATGCGGAATGAAAGATGACGCCACGACGATTGACGTTCGCGAACTTAGAGCCCTTGCGGGAACCCTAGAATAAATCAACGAGATGGAATTAGAAGGGAAGAGTTTGGGAAAAATAGCCCGAATTCTGTGCGTTCCGCACAAACCGATTTCCCCAGTGATCCCTCGAGTCCGCGGGGGAATATTCGATTTCTATGGACATCCGAATCTTGAATAGAGTGGAAGCTCAAGTTCTGGGTCCCGGAGGACCAACCATAGGCGTTCACGGGCTACGCACTTCCAACGATTCGGGATAACTGGTCTCCGCGAGACAATCTTAGGTATTCGGCTCGACCGCAGGGAATCACGTAGGCTGGATTTTGAGCAAATCGCAACCGAATCGCTCCAGGTCGAAGCAAAGCGCCAACATTGTATGACGGACCGCTTGGACCACTGATCGGCAGCTCTTGTGCTCCCGCCTCAGCGAACGCCGAGCGTTCTCAACGACGGACACGCGATTTTCTGGAAATGCTTCGCAGCTATTCACGAATCACACGGCTCTGGCTGACGTTCACCCGAAAATTGCGCGCCTGACGAGTGAGAAAGCTCATACTTTCGATCCTTGTTTTCGCCCGAGTGTTTTGGCGACCCCGCCAGAAAGTCCGATTGCCTACAAGAGACAATTTCAGATGTCTCGGCTACGCTGGATGGAACTCCTTTCGACGGTTGGTCTCGTGGTCCTCCAGAAAGTGTCGAGACGCTGACGAGATCTCGACCGGGGTTGGAGAAACTCCACTCTATCAAAAGATCAGGGGATTCGGAGCCAGCTCCGTAGATCAGTTTGTGGAGCTGAATGCAGTTTGACTCATGCATGAAGTCATCGATCGAATTTCGATTGAGCTCATGCGCCAGCGTCCGATCACCACAAAACGGCGGCTGGAAGACAAGGCTGACGACTTAATATATTTCTTTGCGCGATCAGGCGCGTATAGAATAGCTCTGCCAGCGACTGATGGATTTCGATAGCGAGTTTACGGCTGGAGCAATTCGTCAACAAACAGCATAGTTTTATTCCCACGCAAACCGTCACGTCGTAATTTCTCAGAGCAGATTGGATTTCCGAGGCACAAAAATCGATGCGGAAATATCGAGACGAGTTCCCCTCGATCCCGACTCCCCCTCACCTCAGCCCTCTCAGTTCTCCCCGGACAGCAGGTGACACTTCGGGAACTTGAGCGCAGACGCTTTCGGGAAGAACTGAAATGAAAAACGGCTTCAGCCCTTTTCAGATTAAGGTTTCCTCTCTCCGGGTTCCCCGAGAATATACGATAGGTGTCTGCCTTCGAAAAACGTCGATGTCAGCGGAGGATCCCCGAGACGTTTAATAAGACGACGACGATTTCGAAGTCGGATTTCAGCTCCGCACTTGAAGAGACCGACAGGCGCACCGCTCCACACCTCTACAATGTGCATAAATTAGATGTATATGGGTTGGTCGCGAGAGGGAACTTTTCAGAGATCTCACCAAGAGTCCCCATCATAAAAGAAGGTGTGCGGAGTCTGCGTCTCGAAAGACGGATGGGTCTCTTTCATCCGGTCGTCGTCGTCGTCGCCACCGCCGCCGCTGACGCCATCATCACTGTTCCGTCGAGAGACCAACCCAAACGGAGCCCATTCAACGCTTAAGAATTTCCCCGCTCGAGGATAAGTAGAATAAATTTCCATCTCCCTCCACGCTCTCCTCTCCATCGGCGAGGATTTACACGGTAGGTTAATTTCTCCCCTGGAAATTCCGTCTGAATCCGAGCCGAATATAACTGCTCGTGATCGGAGCCTCTTTTTATGTGAGTCCCTTCTGCGTATACGCGCTTCCGTGTATCACTATCACCCTGTCAACGCGGACTCGCACCGCTCTACCGTCAAACGAGTTCGGAGAGCTCGTTCGCGTACGTCGCGTCGTAACTTCCGATGATTTGTTTCGCTTATCGTCGATGGGGATAACACCGATCACTATTGTGATCTCGCTGACGACGTTGTTTCGTAGTGGGGCGAATAATTAACCGTCGCCTATAGAGAGTTTTAGGATACCGAAAAACCCCGTTGAGTTGTTTCGGAGAACTTTAGGCCTAGGACATCAGATTTTTGCTCGCGTGTGCCTGGAAACATTGCTTATCAGTCCCACAAAGCTATGGTAAACAGGCTCTGGCGGTCTCGTCACGTGCGATGCACGCCCGACGTACCGGGAGTTTTGCTCTGACAGAACTCCCTTTCCGCAACGTCATCGTTAAGGATATTCTACGGAAAGCCTCCCGAGACGTAAAACCGGAATTGCTCTCACATGCAATATTCAGAGGTCATGCGCCTCAGCGGAGCCATCTAGCCCCGATCGGGAGGGCGGGATGGGCGAAGATGCCCGGAAGAGTCTCTGGATTTCCGAATATCCACTAGACTTCAAGACTTCACCGTGCGATCCGACCTGAGCCGGAGCCCACGAAACTCACCGAATCTGGCGCAGCCTCTCGTGTCCTCTCTGATGGATAATGGGTCAGACAATCCGTTTCATCCGGCGAATACTTTCATTCATCGAATTACGATCACGATTTTTCGTAAATGTTTCCCAATGAATGTATCCACAGATTAGGTTCTTGGGGACTTCCTCGAGGGACTAGAAGCAAGAGAATCGATCCGTCGAAACGGCTTTGTCCCAATCAGCTGACTTGTCCAGCTGTTTGTGCGCTGGTACTCTCATCCGAATGTGCACGAGCCCGACGATCTTGCCCTCGCCCGAATAATTCGCATTGGTCTACACTGTAGACTCTACAGTATACAGTTGAGTCGCGAAGAGCATCAAGCCGTCCGGCTATTTGAGCTCGGGCGCGGCTGTTTGAGTCGTATAGCTCGCAAGAATTTAAAATTTCGGCCAGTCGAACTACCTAGTTGCTCTCCACATCGGAATGATCTCCAGTGTGATTGACTGTATGTTCGGAGAACGATGTGGCCCGCTCGTCCGAGTGCCGACGCAGGGAAGATCATGCCTCATGCCGACACTTGGAACAGGATCCAGGATTCTGAGCTCCGAAAGCTGGGAGAAATGCGTGGTTCGAGCCGCTCGTAACTCGCCGAGCCGACCGCCTTCCCGTTTAGATGCCTTGGTGTTCGCCCTATCCAACACGAACAATCTAATACCGTTAGCTGAACCACAGCTGTGTCCGCGACATTGACACGATGGTCAGGGATCGATAAATTGCTTGACTAATCAGTGGCGACATCGATGAGCACGAGACATCGCTCGCATCCTGCGGCTCATTCGTTCCCTGGATGTCCACGGGGGCGTCCAGACTCAGAGCTTCCAGGTCGACCTCGTCTCACAAGTTCGCGTCGAATTCGGCGCAAGTTATCGAGGTCGTCCCCACCACAACCACGAAGGGATGTCAATCCTTCGAGAGAACCATATCGCTTCAGACTCGTCTACGTAAAAGACAATGGAGTATATGAACGTTTGAGGACCTCTTTATTGTCTCCTTCTGGGAAAGAAAAGATTGTAGTACATCCTAGTGCATCGTCAGCCACTGCTCTGCATAAAATTATGGCTTCAACGCTGCTCGACACACGGGAAGAGCAAGATCTTCAAGGAAATCAGCATTTGGTGCTCAACGTCTTTCTCACTCATTCATCAGGTCGGCTCGGGTCGGGACAGCCTCAAAGACAAAAAGCATGCTCTCGTGGTAAACAAGGGAATCATGGGCGCGGGACCGAATCGCTGCTTCGACGTCTCGCAGCGCTAGCGAGAGCAAGGCTCGCGATGGGCTCCGTGTGGAGGATGAGACACCCGGATTCGGGCGGACACTCGGCTTTCAATGCGAATCCGATACTCCATTCCAAGGATCTCCGATAACTTGTCCGTCAGTCTTTCTGTCATGAAAACCAGCATTGGGACAATGATCCAGAGCTGATCGAGTTATCCGCTAATCGAGCTGAGACGAAGTTTCTTTGAAACTTGTTTATTGCGTCGCGCGCCAAGAATTCCTTCCCGCTCCGGAAATCTCTTCTGCTGTCGCGTATCTTCTTCATTTGGATAATTTCTCAGTCGACATGCCCGATGCTGCCACTTCGAATGTCCCACAGATCATGCACGATGTGACAGTGAAGTCGGGTTCGTTTGGCCCATCGTGGGCCGCCCAAGCTCTGAAAGTTCCTCCTCGTTCCGGATCGACTTCTCAGAGCAGGTATGTTATCATTGTCATATTTCATACTCGTGTCCCTTGTCTATCCGGAACGGTTCGAGAACCTCCGAGGACCTTCGCAAAATTTCGCGACTTCGCGTATCTCATCCCTGAACGTCCCGGTTTACGCGCAACGCAGATACCTAGTCTCGACAGACTCCCCCGACCTCGCTACAACAGGCTAATAAGCGATAGGTTTCGTCTGACATCAGCCGCATACGATCCTCCATGCCCGGAACAAGACCCGATTTCTAGCAGACGTGGAAGAGCGTTGGAGCGTCGTCTCCGTACGCCACAGCTCCTCCCAGCGATACTCAGTCAGTACAATCGGTGGCTGATAATGTTTGCTTTTATAGTCTCTTCTTTTTAGTCTCTTTCCGGGAAGAAAAACCATCGTTTGAGTTGTAGGCTGCTCGACTCGAGATATCTGCGGTTGAGCAAGGCTCTCGTCAGAAACTCAATATTGACGTGGACACCACACGAAGGGGGTTTCGATCCACAGATTGAACCTCCCCCGCCGACTCAGATCCGCATAGGGCTCGAGTTGTCACAGAATGGTAATGTACCTCGAGACACCCCGAAACAATAAATGGGGGGTTTCCTCTTCCAAAAACCCGAACGATGGTTTCTTCAGCCTAAAACGAACCAGAGCGGTGAAGACACTTTGAGAAATGCGTCAGCCTGTAGTTTTTATTGTTAACAAAATATCTCGGTTCTAAGTATTATCTCCTTGGTTTCCTCCGGCATGTTCCCTAATTCTCCTCCGTTCAGACTAATCGCAATTGATAGAAGTTTTGGTGGTCAGAGGCGGTCACCGTCTCCACCGGCTTTGAATTCTTCGTAATTTTTTCGTCGTTTCGATGTTGACTCTGAGTCCAAAGGCTCTCCGAGAACTTCCTTTGGTGATGTTGTGGACGACTTTAAGCTGTCTGCAGCGGTCGTCTCCTCTCACGTATACGTTTTGTTTTCTCCTCTTTTTGTATTTTTATGAAAAAGTGCCTCAACTACAAAGTCAGTTCCAGCAGCGGCTCATATCATTCGGCACGTCCGTCTGCTTTCCTGTTCAACCAGGTCTCCTCTTCCCGATCATCGAAATCCGCAACGCTCTTGCTTCAACCACCGGCTTTTTTCCCCATGTGTTCCTTTCAGGTTGTAGTTGTTGCCGCCGCGGCCACGCTGAGCGTTGCTGTAGATGATGATGGTAGCTCCATTGTTTTTGCGATAGACCTCCTCATAGAATCGTAACCTAGGTTACTCATTACTGGTTGCAGCACTTTTTCGATGCTGGCGGGTCTTTGCGACTCTCATTTGGAGGAATCGTGATCTTGTTTTCGTTTTTGAGCGCAGCAATGTCCGCATCGCCATCGTTGGCCATCTGCTTGCGTGATACGATGTGGTAGATGTCTGGAAGAAAACGGGAAGAAAAAACTGGATTGGTGACCGTGCTTCGCTCACTTGAGAAACAAAATCAATGAAAAAAAAACAGAACCCGCATGAGGACATCGGGGATCGGGGCTGCTCTCGAGACATCAACAAGCTAATTCAGTTTTGTCAGAATCAAGTTGATTGGCTCGACAAGGAAGCTCCGACGCGTTTCGGATAAGTTGTCTCACATCTCGATTGATATCGTTCATTTCTAAGAGCGAAGTCACTCAACATCGATCGACACCCTAATGGTCGCCTGGTCACCTATTATAGCGTGGCAGACGACTTCCCTCAAGGACTATGCGAGGCCTAAGACTGATATTCTCTGTCTCGGCAGAAGGACGAAATCCCCTTTCAAGACTGAAGACAGAGCTTGCACACTCGGCTCCCTCCCTGACCAGGGATACCGAGGATCTCGGCATATCTCGGCAGCCGAAGCACCCGGATCTAGGACTCCAGGCAAGAGAGGGGTTCTCCGCGGGGGATCAGAATCTCATGGATCCGATAACTAACCGGTCAAAATTTGCTGGAAGGCCGACTCCACGTTAGTGCTGTCCAAAGCTGAGGTCTCGATGAAATTGAGGTTGTTCTTCTCGGCGAACGCCTTGGCCTCGTCGGTAGGAACCGCTCTGGAAGGAAAAAGTCCGTCGAAATCTTCTCCCGGAGCGGGCGATTCTCGGCCCTCCGACCCAGGTGGTCCTCGGAGCTCCGGACCGGTTCGCTTACCTGAGATGCCTAAGATCGTTTTTGTTGCCTACAAGCATGATGACAATGTGATGGTCGGCGTGGTCCCTGAGTTCCTTCAGCCACCGTTCGACGTGTTCATAGGTGATGTGCTTGGCGATATCATAAACCAGAAGAGCGCCCACGGCTCCCCTGTAGTAGGCCGACGTGATGGCACGGTATCGCTCCTGACCAGCTGTGTCCCAAATTTGAGCTTTCACAGTTTTGCCTTCTACCTGGATGGAACGCGTCGCAAACTCAACACCGATGGTCGACTTCGACTCCAGGTTGAACTCGTTCCGAGTAAACCGCGATAGCAAGTTACTCTTGCCCACGCCCGAATCGCCAATAAGAACGACTGGAAACAGAAACAATCGTCATGAGAGTACGTCGAGAACTTCGCCGTGAGAAACCAAACGATACTCCAGAGCTCGGAGAGCTCGGGAAATGAAGTTCTGCGCGTGTCGGGACTGCGACCGGGAGAATGGGGGTCTCTCGGGAAAACATCGAGAATCGGGAGCAGCGGGAAAATCATCGTCAATCACTCACCTTTGAAAAGATAGTCGTATTCATCTTCTGTTCGCGCCATTTCTAAAATTCAAACAGATTCCGTGCTCGTCGATTCAGCAGAAGTAGAAGTGACTTTTCCCTTAACGTCTTCCTGTAATTAAAGATAAGAGATTAAGTTTGAGCGCACCTCGGCTCGCTTCGTTTTCCGAAAAAAATGCCGCTCGCCATTCCCGACCTGCGATCGACTGGCCCGGTGGGACGTTGAGCGCGGTCAGACGCTCATTCCCCAGGTCCCGATACCTGTCTGATCTACCAATGCACGATCCAGAAATCCGGGGCCTAACGAGGGATACGAAGCTACTTGCAACCTGTCAGCTTCCGGAAGAATCCATGGCGGACGCCGGAAACAATCGAAATCGCGTGCAGAAGCTCGATCCGGGAAGTGAGACCACGTTACGTCGAATATTCCGTTCGGCCAAGGTGGTCTCATCGCTTGGGCGGGGAAATTCTGAACTTGCGAATTCGAACCCAAAACGTGATCCTGGCATGAACGTGATTACCTCGAGGCGACGAGAAATGCGCACCGAACTGTGGACTTCCTCAGCACCGCATCACCACCACTGTACGGGTTACGCTCGCTCCTGACGACACCGAACGCTTTGGTGTCCGACCAAATTCCTCCCCTTCCCCCGCACGTAATCCCCTCCACCTCGATGTGGCTACTTTCGATGCATCCGGGGTTTTGACGTGGATAGTTTGAACTCAATCCTAAGTTGGGCACTAGGTGCTTTCGGGATGAGTTCACTTCTCCGCCGTCGGCTGAAATTCCTCAGCTGAAGAAACTTCGGTCTCGCAGGATATCACTCGTTCATCCGGATGCTGGCGGACAGAAGGTCCGCGACCTCTCTCGTAGGAGCAGAAGTTGAATCACTCGCGTATTTTACCGAATGTTTGCCGAACCATTCTTTTTGCTCAGGCTTGCTTGTCTCAAAGTCGACCACGACAACGATATCTTCGATTGAAGCCGTCTGACCGCGTGGTCGGAGAAACGAAGCATGCCGCTGCGGCATGTCGCTAGACCCGCCGGGGCCGAAGTCGGGCTGGGCCATAAGCGGCAGCCGCCATTAGGGCCAGCGCGGGAGCTTCTGTGCAAGCAAGCAAGCTAGCCACCGAGCGAGCCCGAAGGCAGGCAGGCCCGGGTCGGACCGACGACGACGGGACGGCATCACTCCTTCTAAGTGGCTCGGGAAGATTTGCCGTTCTGCTCTCGAGAGGCGTCTCTGAGCGACCGCGGCCTGCGGAGGAACATTCGAAAATAGCCTCATGCCGAGCACCATGGCGCGTAACGGCAGCAGCAGCTGAAGTTTCGTCGCAGAGACACGGACAAGCAGCGGGAACAATGAGCGAATAAAAAACATTTCCGGATAGCCGAGGATCAGATCCGCAGATCGCTTCAGCTATTATCGATTGTGAGAGATCAGCTTCGGGAGACACTCAGGAGAAGAAGTAGATCGAGGATTAGACGCGGCGGCGGCTGGAGTCTCCTGAACTTTCCGTTCGGGAGGAAGTCGATAGTCCTGTCCAGTCCCCATGGTCGTTCCATGGAGATGGGAAAGGAGCTCTCCCGCTGGAGAGTGACAACGTCCAATGAAGCGTGATCGCAGGTTTGGACTCCCTATCTGTTCCGACTCTGTTCCGTGCGTAAGTACTATCATGTGAGCGTCCGCGCGTCGAATCGAACGACGACGGTGCTTTTTCGATAGTTCAGAGGAATTTCCGCTCTCGCGTGTAAAATGCCGAGTCTCTCTCTCTAATTCGACCGGCAAGGTCGAGACCCCGCCCGGACGCTCGCAGGAAAGATTCCAGCTATCAGGAGAGTCCGGGACGAAGGATCTCCGCGAGAGAAACGGCGAAAGGAACGGGAATATCGGTTCTATTCGAGACGGCATAACAAAAACGCTCGCTACTTCCATTCCATCGACAACAGTGAGTTTCACGTGACCCAGCGGCCACACGACGACCGAGCGACCGAACGAACGACGGACCGCTTAGGCTGAACGGACCTAAATTGATTTTTGCCGCTTCGTTAGGGTCGTCATCGAGGCTGTGCCGACGAACCGTTTCCAAGCCGCAGAGTTTTCGCAGCCATTTCCTCAGAAACGACCACGACAAGCTTGACGACGACTTCACTAATGAAACACTTTTGTTGTTCGAGTATGAGCGTGTGCTTAGAGATGGCGACGGAAAACGTTGCCGTCGTAATAAAAAAGTTTCCGCCGCGGTCCGGCCGATCCAACGACCTGCCCAGAACCCTGACCACTTGCAGCCCCGTTCCCTGGGCTGTCCCTCGCGGCTAGGACTGAACGACTGACTCGACGAGCGTCCAACGCCCGATTGGGTGCGCAGAGTATCGGGCGGAGATCGCGGAGTGAGTCGCAGGGACATTCGTCCGGGATCCCCTTCACATCCAGCGCTGGGGTTGAATTCCAGGGGAAATTATCGATCGGACGGTCTACAACCGAAAGTAGGTGACTCGAAACTGCTCGATGCTTACGCTCGAGGCCCTGACCCTGCTGCCCCGGAGCAGCGAAGCCTCTCCCAGGTTTCGAGAATTCCGTGATTGAAACAGCGTCGGCGTCGGTGGGTGACAGCGCTCCATTCCATGCGGCACCTTGTGGGCATGTAACCCCGAAAAGGAACTAATAATGATGCGCTCTCGAACCAGCACGTGAGACGGCCAAATGGCGCAGCCAGGCTTCCATTCGTCACTTCCGCTCCGGGTGCTCCTGGGGGAGCTCTCTGCTCCAGCCTTTTTCCCCTACCTATGGCATCAACATAAATTCGAGTTTCTAGTCTTCAGCTCTTCACCTGATTCATATTCAGCTATTCATATCGGATATTTATATTAATTTTCGAGATCTCGTGAATCCGGATCAACCCCAGACGATGATGAAAAACAATCGTCTGGTCTGCTGTAGGTACCGAGACCGCATGAGTCGCGGATTCCCGCATTTGTCCGCATCAGATAGCCGTTTCGTTGGAACGACCACTACGAATGCGGAACTTCTGCAGGAGTGCTGCGGGAAAAATATCAAATGTTGGTGGAGAATGCAGCCCACGCCATTAGTTTGCTCGCAGAGCTAGAAGAGGAGGGCCGCCGGTCGAGCACACAGTTCACGTCAGGGTTAGCTGTGGTTTTCGCCCGCAGAACCATTGCAGTCAAATATTTACTCAATGGGAGCTGTTCTATTTAAACATTCACAAACGACGACGTCGTCTACGACATACGTGTGAGTTCGTGTCTGAGAGCGTGGGCAATTGTGAGCTCGGAAGGAACGTCATCCCATTAAGATCAACGTCTACGTGGGAAACTCGGCATCGTTCGAGTATGACATGCCGTTTCCGAAGGTGCGAATCACTGCTGGTGAATCTCTCCACGAAGAGAATCATATCTCGGGATGCCATTCCCATCCTCAGCGGTTGATTCTCGCATGGGGACGTGATAGGCGTCGCTCACACATCGAGAAGGATTGATGAGTCCATCGGAGTGCGATATGGAGCTCCGGAACGAATTCCCTCCTTTGCCATCTGTCGCGAACCCTCCCAGACGAGATCGAGAAGCTCATCCACGCGGATCTCCGACCGAGCTCGAGGGATTCGTTCTCACGTCGATACCTTCTTTCGTGTCGGGGGAACGAGAAGCCTCCCGAATTCGCTCATAGCTCTTCCAGAAAATCGTCCATGCACCGATTTGCCATCGGACCAAAACAATAGATTTCGGATTATTCTGACGTTCGGAAGACGCCTCTCTTGCGTCAAAGAGAGGTGGCGCGGACGGCGAGGCGTCTCGTGATTTTTCTCTGTCGCCTACGACGCCAACTATTCGATGGGATTCGCTGCCGATGAGGGAGCCAAGACGAGAGGAGCCTGTCAGCGGATCATTCTCGCTACGCGGGAAGCTTCCATACACTTTTGCTCGTTTCCAAATTCAATCATCAGTCGACTGCGGACGTTCTCTGTCGGTTTTCTCATTTCTCGGAGTTCAACCCCTGAATTCACGGATAGAACCAAACAGAAGAGGACATCGAACATGGAGCTTGTGACGATTCAGAGAGTCTACATCTTATCTCAGACCTTGTATTCTTTCAGAGACTCTCCGTGGTCACCGTCTTTTGGTTTTTCTTCTTTTTCCCTGCCAGTATCTCCCTCCCGTCTTAAATCTGAGCAGGAATCTGTGATGGAAAACATTCCGCAGGGCGGCAACGACAGCGGCAGACATTTAAAGAGCTGTCACAATGCCTTGCGTACACGTTTTTCACTCGGACGAGTAACAGAAGGACACCTGAAGTCATTTCCATCGGAGAAATGCGGGCAGGAAGACCATCTGAATATCAGTCGAAGACGTAGCTCTGAACTTTTTTTGAACTCTTCCGTTTCTCTTCGCTATTTTCCGGTCCCCGCACTTGACCAGCGAAGGAACCAACCAGAAAACAGGCCTACGCAACGGACAGCAGGGGTTATCATTTTCTCGGTTGGTCGCCGCCGCTGCAGCGGCCACCGCAGCCCGTACAGCGAGTGCTGGGTCAGTCTATCCTGTATGGTGCACCCAATTCAATGACGATGTTCTCCAGGATGATTCGACGAGATTTAGTTCTCGGCCGACACCAATGATCGCCTTTTAGAATCCCGCTTGATTAATCAAAGCAGGGCCCCTCTTCCTGAGCTACTGAATCGCACTGTCTAAATGTGCCATTTTAGCATGGCGCTCATTAGACGCCCTCCGAGCGGGAGTTCGATCGGAAGCTATTCCGTGCCACCGAGATAAACCGGGGCCTGGAATATCTCTCGAGCTCCGAGAAAGTCTCAGAACGATGAGAGCCTTCAAACGTTGTCGGCGACCTGCAGTACGACTCGAGACACCCCTTATTGGTTTTCGCACCCACGTACGACCCGACGACTCGAGATAGGGCGATGAGCACGAGGGTTCCATGAATGATCATCCCGTCGAGGGAGGCAGTCGGAGAACAGAGAATCGTCGCCCGCAAAATCGGCGAACTCAAGCTGTCACTTGATCGTGGCTCTCACGGAGAAGGGGAGTGTTGCTTCAAGTGTCCCCATTTCTGGAATTCGCTCTGCACGGGTAAAATACTGCTCGAGAAATCGTTTACCTGAGAGGCCTGCGGAGCCTGGGTGTTCACAGGCCACCGGATCTTCACAGATATTCCGAAAAAATCAGGAAACTTGAAAAATCATGAGTCACAAATGCTTGTGTTTACATCAAAGCTAAATCTTGGAACGTAGGCGGCCGCACAGAGCCACACGGCACCGGTTCGAATTTTCGCGCGCTGCCGGCTTCTAGGCTCGAACCGTATTCTGGTCGGTCTCGGAGGGCACCTCGGCGAGAAGACGGCACTAATATCACCTGTGAACCTCTCTCGAAGTTCCGAGCGTCAGAATCACGTTCGTTGCAGCGTCCTGACGTAATCCGACTCGGGTACTAGACAATGCCTCTCGCCTAACGGACATTCCCGTGATTCGGGAGAGTACGACGCGGCTGCCGAAATATCACGTCGATGAATTGCATCGAACAGATGATCCTGTCCCGTCTTTCCGCCGCCAGACCGGACGCAGATCCCGGAAATGGATCGCGATAGCTCAATCGAAGAAACACACGCCTCACACAAGCGTCGGCAGTCTGAATTCGCTGCGAGCAGTCGACGCACCCTTCCGAGATCACTTTCTCAAGATGTGGGGAAAACTCGACCGGCATCGAAATGAGTGGCGATGCCACTTAAGAGAAGTCGTCGTATGATGAATGCAGACTCGGGAACTCGACGAAAAAATTACAATTTCGATTGGCAACTCTATCCAACTCACTGATACTCCTCTCTGCGACAAAGCGGATCACTAAAAGTCGGAACGTCGGGTCGGTGAGAAGCTGAGCAGTACTTGCCGTCCTACTTCTACCGTTGATTGCGACAAGGTACTCCTCCCTTGGCAGGATGTTGCTCAGGAGGTCTGGCGTCTTTCTTGGAACAATCGAGGGGTGTAAGCAAGCCAGGCGAGAGCGACGATCTCGACTCGCCAATCTCCAGAATCGATAGTCTCTCAAGTGAATTCAACCTGAATCCCTCGGATTATCGTTTGGCTAATCCCGATTATTCCGCGGACTGAAGAATATCCATCCGCTGTTGGGAATCGAACGGATGTCATCAAGAGCTAAGGCTTTCCGGGGCGAGGATTTTCGCTTCGATGAATGCGTGGCATGACTAGCGCCAGTGTCAGTGACGGGTGGGATGATAGCCCATAGTCGCTATGCGGCACATGACGCCTCTCGGCCGCAAGGATTGCTACCTAATTCTCGGAGTCCGGGGATCGATCCTCTAGGTCTGAAGCTCTATTGCTCCCCTCATGTGCTTCCGCCCTCATCTGCATCTGGTCGGATCTTGATAATTGAAACCTGTCGGTGAAATCGATCATCGAAATTCCCATGGGGCCTGAAGCCATTAATGAATTATATGAACCACGGATCTGCTCCAAGCTGGCGGAAATTCGATTCCACGATCGAGCATGAAGTTGATTGGGAATATCTGAGCGACATCTTGCTGTATATGCAGTTCAGTAAAAAACGGAAGCTCCAAAGACTCCTCCGAATGCTCTCTCGGTGCGGTCCTTGACGAGGTCGAAAAGGGGATGTGCGAAGTGCTCGTTGCTTTCGAGGATCAACCTCTGTCGGCGACGAGAGCTTTTCAGAAGATGTCTGTTGTCCAATGGCATAGCATTCCAAACTCATTCCCTTACTGCTGATTTTAGCGAATGCCCGACTGGAGGAACTCCGATGAAGCTACGAAGACCTCCGCCTTACTCGCCTTGGGAGATGGAGGAAACTTCGGACAGGAATTCGCTAAAAAAAATGTTGAGCCAATCGGCGAGCCCGACACAAACCGAGAGACCCGCAGGTAGCACTGGTAGCAGCGCTTCATCAATCTTCGGAAGTTCGACCAGAAACTCTCGTGAACGGCTCTGGATTCTGTCGAGGGACCCGATCCAGGACGGTCAGCCGCATCGCCACCTCGAACATGCTGCATTGAGATCGATGAATGCTTTTAAAAATAGCTATTCATTATGGATGCCGAGCTGTTTCGAGGGCTTTACGTTTACCGGGAAAGCGGAAAGCGAAGAGCTGGGAGGTTGCTCCCGTCTTCGCCCAGGCCACCAACAAATTCATACATCGTAGCGTGCTCGAAGGCTGGTCTCGCGGCGGACGGTCGATGTAGGGGCGGAAATATTTCCATGAGAGGAGAGCCGAGTTTCGGTCATCGACCACCGAGAACATTCTCGAGTTTGGTGTGGACCTTATTTATGGAATTATCAACCAGCCATCCGTCACGTATATCTCATCGCTTGCGGCTGCTCTCATCCTGATCGACTGAAGTGTCCGGCAGCCGCGCTGGCAACGGCTGCAGCGAGCGCCACTAGCAAGCGGCTCGACCACAAGTTCGGCCAATCATATCCAAAGCCTCGAGAGAAGGAATTCACATACTCGGACGAACGTCAACTTCATTCTGCTCTTATAAATTGCTTTCAGCGGCCAAGAGAAAAAAACATCCTCGGACATTTCCTCGTTCCGCACTCGCGATTTAGACGCATCGCCGTCGGCTGTATAGCGCCTGCTGCAATCTGTAACTCTGAATTTGTTGAACGAGTCGTCGGTTGGGATCGTCCGCTGATTTATTCCCGAGTAAGCTGCGTGAATATTCATGGAGATTCGGAGTGGAACGCATCGTGGGATTGATTCCGGAAAAAACACGTGAAGCTGCCCACGTAAAGGGGTGAATGGCCGTTTTCTGTCATTCAAACATTCGCCCTCTGGGTGAGTACGATATCGACTCACGTTTGTGAGCCTCGAATTTTCCCGTAGTTGAAAGTTCTCGCTTACGGTGTCGGCGATGTTATCCGGATACGGCGATCTTCGCAATGATTCCAGGTGCTCGAATTCGCGTATTTTTCGTTCCCCTCGAAAATCTCACGCAGAATGCCTAGCAATGAGGAGTAGTCGAACGAGTAGGCTCGACTGGTTTCGGTGAACCTCGGAAGCTTGAGACTGAATACTGGAAGCACTAAAGTTTCTCATCCCACTGTTTAATATATTCGTCGTCGGAGCGACGAAGGGGCCGAATTAAGTCGACTCACTCCACTTCGGTTTAAGGAGGATTTGTTGAATACGGAACGAGGAGAAAGACGTTCCGCTCCCCTATCTCGGAGGTTTCGTGGATTTCAGTTATACTCGAATCAGCGCCTCCAAAATCCTCGGGAGAGAACACCGCGACCGAGGGAACTCAATCGATGAGGTCCGGGCGTACGCTGGACGACAGACCTTCCGACACATCTTCTTACGACCATGCTCAGGAGGTCTGCTCGAGAGCAAGGGAGAGGGGGGGGGGGAGGGCACCCTAGCTAGGAGGTTTCCCAATGCGCATCGTCCCAAACCCAAACGGAGAGATCGGACCCTCAGTCGTCCCCTTGGCGGCTATTCCCCCCGAGTCTCCCTGCGTCGTTCAAAACTCGATCGTTTCCGACGGATGGTGGTTTCTCTCCTCCTACGCGACGCACCAGATAAAGCGACTAGTACCGACTAGCCGTGATATCCCGGAGAACATATGAAGAAGGAACTGTCGTGGTCAAAGACCATGAGCTCTCAAATGCATAACGCTGTACAATCGATGGAGTTATCCTGACCAACAAGCCACAGATGAACCAAGCTCGTGTGGTTCGTGGTGGAGCCGATAAGTGACTCCACCAACTGGTGGATGACACCGATCCGATTCGATTGCCGGTAGTTTCGTTGACGATCTCTCCTACGACGGTCCACCATTCCAGGGGGGGATGTCGACGGGACAATTCAAAGCACGATATCCCGCGAGCGCACCGAGAGTCCACGGCAGAGTTACATTATGAGCGTACCCGACAAGTAACTCGCGCGACCGTTGAATTATGCAGTGTTACAATAAGGTCGTACTGTTCTAAGGCCTAGCCCGAGACGGTCAATTACGTCGACGCGGCATGGTAAAATATTGAATATATCGACCATTTCGCTCAACGACCATACGAGTCGCTTCCTTCTGTGTCCCTGAGGGAGCAGCGTGGGAGAATCACCGCATGGCGATGAAGTCCGGCGAATTCCCCGCGGACCTGTTGCTCTCCCGAAATTTATCTGGTAGAGAACACGTCGAAGTCACATTAAACCGATTTTTCACGAAGGGTTCATACCGCGGGACAATCCACTAGCTCCACGATGTAAGCCGAAACAAGGAGCGATATCGATTCTAATGGTCCAGCCGCTAGAATCTAGCGTATTCTTATCAATTCTAGCGGTCCCATGATACGGAAATCGAGGATTGCGACCTCATTGCGAAATGAACCGAAGGATATGAGGATCACCCTGCGCAGAATCGACGTCCGTGGAAACTTCAGAAGGTTAACCAAAGGCTTAACGAATTCGGTCTGGGCGAGTCGCATGCGGGTGAGCGGTCGGCTCGGGATCGGGATTTTCTGACTCCGTTTATGTAGATGTTGCGAAAAACGTCCGACCTTTAGGCTGGAGAGGCGCATTCGTTGGCAGATTCGGATTGAAGTCGACGCTTCTGTCCCCCGGCGGGAAGAGGGGGAAAGGGGGCGGAGAGGGACAGGTCCCGATCGGCGTGCTTCCTCCGGTTGGCTTTGGTTGCTGCTGGCGCCCCCGTGGCTGGGAGAATGCTCGTCGGGCGGGGACGCACCGTCCGACGGATATCCCATTGAAATTCAGACCACGCGATCGAAGGAGCAGAAGGAGGACCCTTCCGCTCTAAAGTTTGCTTGTTCGAGGACATTCTCTCCGAGAACGGGTGCAAAGCGCGACTCAGGGACGGACTGAGAATGGACCCATGGTCAGATAGACCGCCGCCGAGCGAGCGAACGACCAACCGACCGACCGACGGCCGACCGAGCGCGCTTTGCCGGGGAAGCTCTCACCGTCATTCGTTCGCGCGCCGGAGTCCGGCGGAGCTACCTCGGGCCAACGAAAACAATCGAACGGCAGCGACACCTCGGAGAATCAGCGGAGGGCTATCTGATAAAATTCGATCAAATCTTCCTAAAATCCGGAGATGGAATCGTTCGATATCGGCGGGAATTCGCGGGGTTCTCGGAATCGGGAGAAGCAAGGGATCCCCATGATGGGCCACCTATCAGGGTCTCGAAACGTCGAAATATATAATAATCACGAGAGAAGGTTTCCGCCATCGGAGTCGAGACGATTCATTCGCAGTTTCTCTGAAACGCGAATGAATCAACTGACTGCTTCGGTAGTTGCGAAAAGTTCGGAGGACGCGAACTGGTACCCCGAGACGGAAAAAACGCTCGAACAACAAGCCGGCGCTTAGCTCATCCTCGGCTCTGACAGCAACTGGCTG